CAGATCAATAGACGATCAGAATGCTCGAAGGCTTGCATTTTGAATGACAAATTCGTTCGAAAGAGCGATTTGCTACCAAGATAGTTAAAATGTCGATTGGCATGACATCATACGATTTAGTACGGACACAAGTGTGGATCGCTGATGTACAAGGAAGTAATAGCAAGAGAAATATTCTCGGTCAATAGTAGCCCGACAAACAATAGAGAAGACATCAGCGGTCCATGCAAAGACTAAGGCAACCCTGAACTGACAAAAGTCGCGTACAAGCCAGGCATAGAAAGGCCTTCAGACCAGTGTGACAGCTAGGTGACCCCGAAGGTCACAGCAGCTGAGGAGCAACAGTTTAGTTACCCAAGTCACTTTTGATATGTGGCCGAGACGATGAGCTTAGCCCAACAGTTTAGGATTTGTCGCTGAAATTCTCGGGTAATGTTGAGCGATTTTCCTCACGTCTCGAATTTGAGAAGATGTGCTCGAGCTCGAACACGTGGAAGCCTTAGATGAGCCTCACATTGATCCGCGTTAACCGGTGAGATAGTGCCTACGACCACTTTTTGGCGGAAGGTACGCTAGTTAGAGAGATGAGAAGTAGGTCTCTCTGAGTCCAGGAGTGTCGTCATAGCTAGGGCGATGTTGCTAAGAGAATAGATAAGCTTCTTTTGAAGTTCCCAAGTATAGTTTCTAAAGTTTCGTCTTGGATTTTATCTAAGGCGCATAATGAGATTTTGGCAAGTCGCCATGGCGAACTAGTACCAGCGAGACCGACCGATGCCGGTACAACACTATTATAGTATCCAGACAGAGAGTCCAGTTCTTGAACTTGGGTTGATGTATAACATCCATAAGGCCGGGTAAATTATGGAGGTTTGAAATAAGAGTCACTAGTCTGAATTTACCTGGGGGCTTGAAACTGGAGTTGCCATGACATAGCTAAGATCACTAGTAGGGCAAAGAAATAATTCAGAGTTACAAATCCTACACTTGAGTTTGATTTGTATCTGGACTTGAAGTTAGAGTTTTGTTACACGCATTTGTCTAGCATTTTTGAGTTCATGGAAAAGCACGATGTGATTTGGGTAGTTGTGGACCGACTGACGAACTCCAGTCGCTTTTTACCCATGAGAATGACGATGACCATGGAGCAGTTTGCTAGTATTTATATCCGTGGGATTGCTCGATTCCACAGAGTAGCCGAGACCATAGTATTAGACCGACATCCCCGTTTCATAGACCCATTCGAGATCCTCGAGCGAGTGGGCGATGTATGTAATATCCCGACTTTTCTCAGTATTATAATATTTCAGTTCCGATATTATTTTTCGGAGTAAATTATTTTCAGTTATTTCAGTCAAAATTACTGGAAAATATTTTCGACGTACCGTTTACGTTCGAAATAAATTTGGTAATTTAGCATTATGTTTAATTGGATAATTAGACATAATTAAGTGATTAATTTAACTTAATCACGAGATTAGTAATTGTTCGGAGTTTATTCCGAGTTCATGTTCATGGCCGTGTGCATTTTAGTCCAAGTGTTAGTACCTTTTGTTCATTAGCCATGCCGTGTGGTAAGTGTGTGCGAGTGTTGCGGACCAAGTTCATGTGCGTGTGTTCGAGAGCATGTAAAGGCCGTGCACATGCTAGCGGGCGGAGAGTCCTAGGCCGCGTGAGTATCCGTGCGCCATCCGCGTCCATGCACGCCGCGCGAACAATGTGGGCGGAGTATCCGAGGCGTGTGCACATCCGCGCCAACATTTCCGTGAGTATCCGTGCGCCCTCATTGTCCTCTTGCGCCTCAAGATATCCGTGCCATTTGTCCGCTAGTGCCGTGGGGTTGTGTGCATGGGCGGAGTGTCCAAAGCTTCAAGCCTATGGCCGTGTGTTTTACTCAAGTCATGTGCAAATGCCGTGCACATTATGCAAGAGACTCCTCCCGGCATCATCCTAGGTAGCCGTGCGTGCATTTTGTCCCTTGTGGTCATAGCTTTTCACGTGACCATAGTAAGGCCAAGAGTGGGTTGAGCTTGCTTGACAAGTGGCCGAGGCTTGGAGTGCATGGGTGCTAAGTGTCATGAGCTTTTGACTACACCTCCCTCACTTTAGCACTTTCGGCTTTCATTTTAAAGTAAGGCCTTGGGAAGTTAGTCCCATTTTCTTCTCCGCCTTAGTCTCTTTTGCCGAGGGTATAGAGTGAGTGCGAGAGTTAGGGAGTTTTTGGGCGCGAGCTTACCGAAAGTCCGCGAGCACCTCCGAGCCACCAATTACCGTACGCGAGAAGCAAGTACCACACGCACGCACGCGGAGGCACGGCCGAGAGCGGGAGTCCGAGTCATTCAACCTCTTGAGTTCTATAAGAGTTTGATCAGGCATCAGCACTTCCCTATCAGTTCAGTTTTTCAGCAAATTCAGGTGGGGACTCAGACTAAGTATCACATGGTTTATAATTACGTTACCATATTCGAGGTATGTATATTCAGATACCGCTCGGGGTGGTCGCCGGTCCATCCTGGGTTTTAGTGGCCTGATCTAGCCACTAGAGTGTGCACATGGTCCGATGTTAGTTTCGCCGGGAGATTTTCAGTTATCAGTTACGTGACTTCGGTCGCGAGATCAGACCGGTTATATCAGTTATCAGTTTCAGTTCAGTTCAGTTATATATACTCAGTTCATGATCATGTTATTATTTACGATGTTGTACATTAGCATGAGTTTCTGCGGAGCACAGTGCCTTAGTGCTCACGCCCCACATTTTCATGATTTTCAGGTCGCAGGGTCGGTGATGAGGAGTGAGCGGGCGAGCTGTTCAGGACATTTTATGATTTCTGTACTTGATGTTGGATGATTAAACTTTTCAGAACTTTTTATCAGACTCTTATGTTTTTGCCACGCTAGACTTCCGCTAAAAACTTTCAGACTTTGCTCCGACGTTAGTCGGATAATAAATTATAACCGTTTTATGTATCAGTTTTAAATTCTAACGGTTTTCAGAAGTTATGTTTTTCACGGTAACCCCCGAATCAGTTTCGCAAATTAAGAAGTTAGTTTATTTATTTATTTATTCAAAAAATTTGCGAAAAACCGCGTACTCTGATGTATTAGTAAGTCGGGGTGTTACAATGTAGCATACTGTTTGGCATTGCCTCCCGAGATTTTGGGTGTGCACAACGTCTTTCACGTGTCGATGTTGAAGGATTACGTGCATGACCCAAGACATGAATTGAACTACAGCGAGCTCGAGGTCGGGCAGAACCTGACTTACGAGGAGCAGCCGATAGCGGTTCTAGACCGAAAGGTCCAACGACTGAGGAGCAGAGATGTATTGCTAGTTAGAATTAGCTGGAGCCGCCATAGCGAGGCCGAGGCCACTTGGGAGCGAGAGGATGAGATTCGCGCTCGTTATCCAGAGTTTCAGTTCTTATTAGTACTATGTATTTTTCGATTCCTAGTTTCTAATCGAGTCAGACTTATGTTTAGTTTTGGTATTTCCGAGGAAGAAAATATTTTAAGGAGGATAGATTGTAACACCCAAATTATAATTACTATTTATGAGGCTCGACTTTATTTCCATAAATATTAAGTTTCCTAATTTGATGCCTTAAACTGAGTAGTTAGTATTAAGTATACGCCATGGAGAATTTATTCAATTTTTAATTATTAAAATTGGATTTATTTAGCCCAAGTATCGACTCTATTTTTGAAACCGAGCCTTGGAATGATCGGAAATTTTATTTAAGTGGATCGAAGCCCGAATAATTAATTTACTCGAGCCTAATCATTTTCGAGCGAGTCCAATTATTTTAGCCGGCCCATTTAAGTCCATCGAGCCCGTGTTCAATTTCATTTTAGTACATTTTAGAAATCGAGTCTATAGTCGATTTTTAAATCTGAGCCCAATTACCATAGTAAAGTTGAGCGTCTAATTGAATTAGTCTGATTCGATTAATTTTATTAACCGATCATTTAACTTCGTAGTCAATATTTAAACAAATCGGCCCAAGTTAAATTAATTTCTCTAGCCCTATTTTATTAACTGCAAAGCCCGGTGATATGGGATATTATACCTACTAGGCTGAACCGGTCTATTGACCGGTCGAGGAGGTCGTATTATGAGGAAGTCAAGGAAATCGAGCAGTTAACCAGTCGACCAAGTAAAGCTGTCGACCAAACTATCCTTCGACCAGATACATGATCGGGCAACCTATTCGACCTCAACAGGTCGACTACTTCGAGGACTTAACACCACGCTGTTCGGCCTAGTCATAGGCGCGTGAGGGAGCCTTCAATAGAATTCCAGGAGAATATTCACCCCATGTGCAGGGGGACACGTGTCGAGAAGGCGGTGGTGGATAGCGATAACCACCTCTGACAGCCTACCCCATGTGTAGGAGGACACGCGTCCAAAGAGAATTGGTGCAGGCGATAGTGGCGATGTCTACCTCTGACACACGCGTTTGGTGTGTACGGACGGGCAGTTAGGGCAGACAGCTCATCAAATCCAGGCAGCTCTAGGTCAGGTATCTCACCCCTATATAAAGGGGGTGAGCCTTTCTTTCTTCAACATGATCATTCTATTACTTACTCTTGAGAATTGATTGAACATACACTGACTTAAGCTTCGGAGGCTCTTCACCGGAAAATCCCTCCGGTGTGAGAGTTCTTTGTAGGTGCACGACGTTCAACCGGCGAGAAGGAAGGCGATTATTCAAGTTCCAGCTGGTCGGGAAGTTTTGTGTTACCATTTGGCGCCATCTGTGGGACTTTCGTTTGAAAGGTGTGCTTGAAGCTCAGCTATGGCGGACGGAATTCCCAAAAACTTACAGTCAACGTTCGATGATGCTTGGACGACGACCAGGCCGTTGGGACAAGGTCCTCCTCCGAGTTTTTCTGGCCCATCCAGACGCCGATCACTCCCACACTTGTGCTCCAAGGTGTGGGAGCGGCAACGATGATTCCCGGAGGAGACGCCGGCTCCAACCGTGCTCAGGAGGCTCGCGCAGCGGATGCGGCGGCGATGCCACCACCACCACCACAAAGCTCAACGGCAGCGCAACCAGGGGGAGTGGGAGTGCAACTGGGAGCGACGGAGGCGCAACCGGGAGGAACGGGGGTGCAACCAGGAAGAGCGATGGCCCAAGGAGGAGCACCGCCGCGAGCAACGGTTCAGGTCCCCGACCAGCAGGTGATAATGACCAGGCAGAAGATGCAACAAATGGTGGCGGAGGCAGCTGCGCAGGCGGTTCAGCAAGTCACAAACAGTCTCTCTCGGGCTACAGCAATGCCGAACTATGTTGCAGGGTCACGCCAAAATGCGGAGGAGGATGAATCCAGCTATGGTGGAGGTGTGTCCACACATGACCGGGAGATAGAGAGGATGGCGGAACAGCTGCGCCAATTGCAGGCTAAGGTGGATGGTCGAGCAGAGAGACGCGCTCGAGGACACCTGTTCTCGTCGGACATACTAGAAGCACCCTTGCCAAATAATTACAAGGATACCAACTTGGTGTTCGATGGGACTTCGACCCGTCGAGACACGTGAGGACATTTGAAAATATGGATGTGTTGCATGGATATACTGATCCCGTTAGTTGCAGGGCCTTCTTATCGACCCTTAGGGGAGGGGCTCTCGACTGGTTCCAACAGCTCCCCCTAGGCTCGATTGTGGACTTCGAGGATTTTGCGGAGAAGTTGACAAATCAATATTCGAGCGCGGTGGCTCAGGAGAAAATGTATTTGACATTGATGGCGATGAGACAAGGCGAGAAGGAGTCACTGCGTAAATATGTCACTCGATACAATCAGGCTTGCTTGGAGATTCCATCCGTGGTCGATGAGGTCAAGGCGGGAGGATTGATTAGGAGTTTGCGGGCAGGACCGTGTCGGACTTCTCTGGCTAAGACTCCTGCTCATACGTATGATGAGGTGTTGAGAAGGTGTAGGAAATATATTAATCTCGAGGAGACCGAGGCGGAGTTTGCCAAGCTAGAGGAGTTAGGTCGAGGGGAGTCGAGGAAAGAGAAAGCAGTTTCGCCTAAAAGGAAAGCCTCGCCCAGGAGAGAGGGGCGAGCTAAGCAAGATCGAGGACGAGAGTACAGACGGAAGGACCGGCCTATCTCTGGAGGGAAAAGATTCCATGATTACACCCCGTTGAACGCGAAGGTAGCTGAGGTCTTGATGGCCATGGAGAAAGGGATAGATGGGAAAGATGTGACGTGGCCAAGGTCGAGGTTCGAAGGGCCAACCCAACCGAAGTCGAGGAGATATTGCCGCTTCCACAAAGACTATGGCCATACTACTAAGGATTGTCGGCATCTCAAGGACGAGATTGAGCGCCTTATTCGAGCAGGGCATCTCAAGGAGTTTGTCTATCAGGATAAGGGGAGGAGGAAGGAGAAGAGAAGGTGTCGGGAGGACTCGGTGGAGAGGAGCGAGGAAGATGATGATGAGGATGCACGAGGTGGTCGAGATGGTCGAAAAAGAGATGAGGGGAAAAGGAGGCGAGGAAGTAGGGAGCGGGAAAGAGAAGGAGATGAAGGCTAAGTGAAGAGAGGCACGATATATATGATTTCAGGAGGACCGACGGACGGGGACTCGAATAATGCAAGTGGAGGCCATGTTCGAGCAATGAAAAGGAAAAGACAAGAGGTGGGTATCACGGCCTGAGTACCAGAAATCAGTTTTCGAGCAAAGGATGCAGCAGGGGTGGTGGTACCTCACAATGATGCCTTGGTAATTACGGCTGAAGTTGCAGGTTTTGATGTGAAAAGGGTGTTTATAGACACAGGGAGTTCGGTCGATGTCATGTTTTATGATTGCTTTGTGCAAATCAATCGGGAGTTGAATGTGGAGCTGAAGCCGGTGGTCACGGCCTTGTATGGCTTTAACGGCGAGGAGGTTATGCCAATGGGAGAAGTGACTCTATCTGTAGCACTGGGAAAGGGAGCAACTCGGAAGGTTCGAATGGTGAGATTTGTGGTCGTAGGAGCTGAGTCATCCTACAACATCATAATGGGGAGAACGAGCCTAAACGCGTTCCAGGCGGTCGTATCCACGTACCACATGACGATCAAATATCCGGTGGGCGAAAACGTTGGTGAGATCGCTGGGGATCAACTTACCTCGAGAAGCTGCTACCAGACCACTGTGAGCAACAACAAGCAATTAGCGAGGAGGCAGATGCACCCCAAGGGGGAGGAAGTTAATCGACCGGGAGGGTCGAGGTCGAAGGAGGAGAGACATAAGTCGGAGAAGGGGAAGGAGAATGCAGAAATTCAGCCGGGTGGCGAAGTGGAGGAGATACAGATGGTCGAGGGGTGCGAAGAGAGGAAATTTCGGATCGGGAAGGAATTGGAGGAGCCGGTGAAATCGAGGCTAATTAAGGTAATAAGAGACATTGCGGATGTGTTCGCACACTCGACGGAGGAGTTGACTGGCATCAAGGCCGAGGTTATTGAGCACCGGTTGAACATCGACCTCACTGTAAGACCGGTGAAGCAAAAAAGGAGACACCACGGGGCAGAGATGGATAGAGTAATCGAGGTGGAGGTAGAAAAACTCTTGTTGGCAGGTCACATAAAGGAGATCCAGTTTCCAGAGTGGCTATCGAACACGGTTATGGTCTCAAAGTCAGAGGGGAAATGGCGGATGTGCATAGATTTTCGAGATTTGAACAAGGCATGCCCGAAGGATTTATATCCGCTTCCCAGGATCGACCAGCTGGTCGACTCCACAGCCGGGTGTGAGCTACTCAGTTTGATGGACGCATCCCAGGGTTATCATAAGATCCCGCTGTCTCGAGAGGATTGGAAAAGGGTCAGCTTTGTAACAAGCCGTGGAACATACTTCTATGTGGTGATGCCATTCGGTCTAAAGAATGCAGGGGCGACATATCAGAGGTTGGTGGATAAAATTTTTAAGGATCAGCTGGGAAGGAACATGGAGGTATATGTAGATGATATGCTGGTAAAGAGCAAAGAGGAAATTGACCATGTAAACGACTTGAAAGAAACATTCATGACCCTCTGGAAGTATGGGATGAAGCTGAATCCCGCTAAGTGCTCATTCGGGGTCAAATCTGGGAAATTTTTTGGCTACATGGTCACGAAGAGGGGAATCGAGGTCAACCCGGACAAGGTAAGGGCAGTGATCGAGATGCAGCCCCCCACGAAGGTGAAGGAGGTACCGATCCTAACTGGTCGAATAGTAGGCCTGAGCCGCTTTATTTCTAAGGTAGCTGAGAAAAGCGGGCCCCTATTTAAGACACTCAGGAAAAGCTCGAAATTCCAGTGGACAGAAGAAGCCCAGAAAGCATTCGAGGAGTTGCAGAGGGTGTTGGTCGACCTACCACTATTGGCAAAACCAGTGCAAGGGGAGGACTTGGTGTTATATGTGTCCATTGGTGAGACGGCAGTTAGCTCGGTGTTATTGCGGGAGGAAGGGACATCCCAATTTCCGATCTATTACGTGAACAAGGTGATGCAAGGGGCGGAGAGGAGGTATTCAGAGATTGAAAAAGGGGCCTTGGCGGTGGTGGTCACCGTAAGGAAGCTGAGACCATACTTCTTGGGACATAGGGTGAAGGTCCAGACAAATATGCCATTGGGAGAAACGCTGGGTCGACCCTCCGTGTCGGGGCGGTTAGTCAAATGGGCAGTCGAGCTGAGTGAATACACAATTATCTACGAGCTGAGAAGGGCGATTAAGGCTCAGGCACTGGCCGATTTTATACAAGAGGGGACGAAGGAGAGCGAAGAGTCTGAAGGAGTATGGCAGGTGTTTGCAGATTGGTCGGTGTCAAGGGCCGGAGGTGGCTTAGGCATCGTACTTATGTCTCCAAAGGGTGACAGCCTCGAGTTTGCATCAAAGTGGCCTACCAGAGATCGAATAATGAAGCGAAATATGAGGCGGTCATTAAAGGACTCAAACTGGCTTTAAGTGGCGGAGCTCGAAAAGTGCAAGTACATTCGGATTCACAATTGGTGGTGGGTCAATTCCAAGAAGGGTTTGAGGTCCGGGAAGAAAGGATGGCGAGGTATGTGGAGGAGATAAAAAAACTGCAGGGAGAGTTTGATTCTTTCGAATTAATCCAGATACCTCGAGGAGAAAATGGTCGAGCGGATCTGTTAGCTAAAGTGGCACAAAGTGGATTGCAAGAGAAGAAATGTGACCTTGCTACACATGGAGAAGAGTGTGGTCGAGAAGGAGGTGGTCGAGATAGAAGAAGTCGAGGATTGGAGGGCACTGATAATAAAAGAATTGAAAGAAAGAGCCATTAAAGTAATAAGAAGATTTTTCGAGCACGGAGGGATTCTCTACAAGAGGTCGTACGCGGGCCCCCACTTACGATGTGTAACCAAAGAAGAAGGGCTATATGTGTTGAAGGAGATCCACGAGGGGTGTTGCAGCGACCAGGGCAAGGCAGGTTCCCTGGTGGCAAAGGCCCTAAGGGCAAGATATTTCTCGCCAACAATGAGAGAAGATGCAAAACAGATGGTGCGGAAATGTTTGCAATGCCAGAAACACGGTCCACTTATTCACCAACCGGTCGAAGCCATGACAGAGATGAGTTCTCCCATCCCATTCGCTCAATGGGGGATCGACCTGGTTGGGCCCATGCCCCAAGGAACTGGACGGAGAAAGTTTTTGATTGTCGCGGTCAATTACTTCACAAAGTGGGTGGAAGCTGAACCTCTGGCAAAGATCACGGAGGAGAAGGTGATACATTTTCTATATGACAACATATGCTGCAGGTTCAGAGTTCCTAAAGTGCTGGTGTCAAACAATGGGACCCAATTCAATGGCAAGCGGATCCGGGCATGGTGCGAGGACATGAAAATTGATCAACACTTCGCTTCAGTCGCACACCCGCAAGCCAACGGACAGGTCGAAGTTACCAACAGGATTATATTGAACGGTTTGAAAACAAGGTTGGAGAAGGCATCGGGAGCATGGGTGGATGAACTTACTTCGGTGCTATGGGCGTATAGAACAACGCCCCAATCGACCACTGGAGAAACACCGTTCAGCATGGTATACGTTATAGAAGCTTTGCTGCCGATAGAGGTCGAGCTCCAGTCCCAGAGATCGAGCACGTATGATCGAGAGCAGAATGAAAATTTGATGATGACAGCGCTCGACACGATCGAAGAACTTCGAGAAAGAGCCTCAGTCAGAGTGGAAGCATACAAGCAGAGGATGCGGGCAACACATGATAGAAAGGTGAAAATACGAAGATTCCAAGTGGGTGACTTGGTGTGGAAGAGAGTCGATGTGCTGAAGCACGTCGGGAAACTGGAGCCAAACTGGGAAGGACCATACCTGGTCGAAAAGGTCCATGCTGGAGGGGCATACTCTTTAAAGGATGCTGAAGGAAGATCTCTAGCCAGGTCATGGAATGTGGCTAACTTAAAGAAATATTATGCTTAAATTTTTTTCTTTTTTACTCATTACCACTAATGTAATGAAATGCTTTGCTCGATGATGAATGAAATGGCGTATTGAAGTTTCTACAATTTACTGTTTATCGAATTAACTTTATATAGTCGGAATCCCTGGATTAACCTTGATGACAGGCTGTATGTGAAAAATCCATCACGATTAAGGCCATGAGGCTGGATGGTCGTATGTAACGACCACCCCTTTGAGGGTGGGCATGCGTTTCAAAGCAAAAATCCATCATGATTAAGGCCAAGAGGCTGGATGGCCGTATGTAACGACCATCCCTTCGAGGGTGGGCATGCGTTTTCAAGCGGAAATCCATCATGATTAAGGCCATAAGGCTGGATGGTCATATATAACGACCACCCCTTTGAGGGTGGGCATGCGTTTCAAAGCAAAAATCCATCATGATTAAGGCCAGGAGGCTGGATGGTCGTATGTAACGACCACCCCTTCGAGGGTGGGCATGGATTTTCAAGCGAAAATCCATCATGATTAAGGCCATGAGGCTGTATGGTCGTATGTAACGACCACCCCTTTGAGGGTGGGCATGCGTTTAAAAGCAAAAATCCATCATGATTAAGACCAGGAGGCTGGATGGTCGTATGTAACGACCACCCCTTCGAGGGTGGGCATGCGTTTCAAAGGAAAAATCCATCATGATTAAGGCCATGAGGCTGGATGGTCGTATGTAACGACCACCCCTTAGAGGGTGGGCATGCGTTTCAAAGGAAAAATCCATCATGATTAAGGCCATGAGGCTGGATGGTCGTATGTAACAACCACCCATTTCAGGGTGGGCATGCGTTTCAAAGGAAAAATCCATCATTAAGGCCATGAGGCGGGATGGTCGTATGTAACGACCACCCCTTTGAGGGTGGGCATGCGTTTCCAAGGAAAAACCCATCATGTTTAAGGCCACGAGG